GTCCCCATCCAGGGTTTTTATACCCTCATGCCAGGTCCTCGCTTGACCACCCTTGGCTTTCTTTCACCCACTACCTGCCTCGGATGCACTAGCGCTACTATGGTTTAGACTGAATCCGGTAGTTGATAATGTAAGAGGAGGACAACTGCATTGAATCATAGAGTGAATTGATCAACCGAGAATCAACCAGCCCTGAAGATAAATGGCGCTGGAGCGTTGGACCTGTACCGGACCGTCACTGCAAGCTGAGTCGGTAATGTGTGATGTGAGGGCAAGCCTCATAACCCAGGCATGGAATTATTGACGTGTAGGAGGATCGCCGTGGTGAGCGGGAAGCTTCGGACGTGTGTATGAGTGGAACTGCCATGGGTGCAAATCTTGGTGATAGTAGCAAATATTCAAGTGCGATTTGACGGACAAACAGGTGTGAGTCGAGTTTCGCTCTTATTAGAGCTCATCAGTAGAACATATCCTCCGTCCCTTCCGGGATTTGAACTTTGGACCCATCGCATGAAAAGCGTGTATTAGCACTGTGCCAACCAGCTTCACTGGCGTATGATCCAGACACCGGCCCCCAATGGACTGCGGACTCTGAACTCCGTCCTGTTGTCTTGCAGGTCTGGCTTTCTAACCAAAGGCTTCGGGTGAGGACCCCGAGGCTATCCCCCTTCCTCGACCAGGGCAACCGGGAAGTAACATACACACACAACCCATGAACACATTCTTCAAATTTCTTTCTGTTTACATGTTCTGGCACATTTGCCTGTAACTGGTTGCGTGTTGAATATATACGATGGAGTGATGAAACTAAATAATAATAATAATAATAATAATAATAATAATAATAGATAGCACAATGCTTGCCGGGCGAACGGAACAATGTACTCGTCCGCTCCCTAGCCTGGTCGGGAATCAAATATACAGTCAGTAAAACTTGCCTGTTCTATTTCCTCTTGTGACCCGGTCGGAGCGAGAGTGGGTGCAGTGGGAGGCCAGGCAGCTGGTCTGACTGTTCCACTTGATCCGGTGACGGTTGTTGGTCCAGGTGCCGATGGCAGCGGGATTTGCTGTACTGGCAACGGAACTAATGCGATGGAAAGCAAACATAGCCATCATCATCATCATCATCATCGTTAGCGAGTTTGTGGCGATAAAATGTTTCTGGTGGATCATGCACATGAAAGTAAGGGAGAATTTGATGGAATTGCATAGGGTAAATTCATCGTGTATGGAGCAAACGAAATGTGACCTGAAAAGCTAGAAAGCACTGGAAAGCTGTTTCAACCTGGTTGGGTCTCAACAGCAGTGCGAATTCATCGACCCAAATGGGGATCGAACCCGGGACCGGTTGCAAGAACATTCAGTAAAAGCACGAGCACCACCGTTTGCGACACCTGGGCATATCATTGAGTGTCTCTAAACGCCGATTAACATGATCTCGAGATTCGATAAGCCCATTTAACACAGACAAACTGATTGTTCTCGTGGACCGGACATGATCAAAACAATCAAAACGCTTCCGTACGTTTCCGCAATTATTGCGCACCTTACAGCAACCACAAAAGTAAGACTGTGCGTATTGTCGCGTTAGAGTTCAGCGAAACCGCTTGAGGCTGTAGACCCGATCGATTTCACGTGACAGAATTGTAATCGCCCTAGATTCATTTGACACAATACATGCAATGAAACGATGGGATTAAAGGTGGAAAACAGATTAGCCAAAAAGCATGATGAGGATGATGCAAGTGAATTCGGAAATATAGGTATTGCAATACACATCTGTGGGTCTCATGCTTGAACTCACTGGGATTGGATGCAGAACGGGGAGGAAGATTCTGGAAGAACAAACACGGTAAAACGAGGAGTGAACGCACTGAAGGCAAACTGGACGAATGAGGAAGTCAAAAGAATGAATGTGGTATAAAACTGATTACGCAAGCAATAACAGAGGTCTCGGCCCTGTTACCGGGTACAATTCCTACTCCGCGCTGGACTACTGAACATGCATGCAATAGTTTTCACTAATTTAGTTAAATAACGTTTTGGAGTAACCAACAGCGTGGCCCGTTTCCCGCGCACGATGGATGAGCTTGTTCGACTTGAAGGGCTCGAATGAACCGTTGCCTATGTGTAGGCCACATTACTGTCCGTGGGCAGGAATCATAGAACATGACATCAATGTGGAGTGGCTTCTGCAGGCAGCGTTAAACATCAGTTAAATCATTTAAATCACAAGTTTTTTTCATTTCTAAAGTAATTCGACCGATGGGCTATGAAATACCCAAAGCAAGTGTCAAGCCGAACCCGGAGGGCCTAGATGTTCACCTCAAACTGGCTCCTGCCACGAATACGAAGACAACAAAGAGTTTTAGTTCTCATACTATTCCCAGAGATTCCTCACTTTTCAGGGGGAAAATCGCACCAAATCTCTCCTCTTCCCAAAAACGAGCATTCTCTCTATGAATCATTCAGATCTGAGCTAATTCAAACACCACTGGTTGCAGTCTAAAAAACATTACTAATGGTCGAAAGCGATGTCTCCAATGTGGCGATCTCTGCTAGATTCTCCCCGGTGATTTTTCTCCACGTACCGTCATCATCCGAGAAAACATTCAGCTGTAGAGAAAGAAGTCTACACAATGGTTGAAGCCATTCAAAAGTGACGTAATTATCTGCCTGGGTGCCCATTTCAAACAGGTTACAGACCAACGCTCTGTCGTCTTTATGCATGACAAGAAAGTCAGCAACAGTAACATTAAGAACGACAAAAATACAACGTTGGCTATCGCACTGAGCTTCCTGAATTCTACGTGGATGTGATACAACGTTCAGGTTCGAAGAATCCTGCAGCCTGTGTTTTATCACGAGTATTCTGGGCAAGTATTCATTCAGTTGATGGACTGAAACAACTTCACAACTTCTGTGTCATCCGGTATGACCAGTCCGCATCACTTTATCGCACATATATATTTATATTTTCACGCACATCGGAATCAAGGCGGTGTGCCAAACAAATCATAGTACAATAATCTTTATGAAAAACGAAAAGCTTTCCATGATCTGCATGTGGGCTGAATACTGCCAGGTTGTCCAGGCCAAGAAAGGTGAATTTTCTTGATGAATCCACAACCGGAGCCTTCGGCTAGATTCGGTTATACTTCGACGTCTGACGCCTTCAACGGAGACCAACATCCGTGAACAGCAAGCCGTGGATGCATTGATCAAACTTTCACGTTGCGTCAGGTCCTTGAGTTGCATCACACCCACCGTCGACCAACGATCGCAGTGTTCCTTGACCTAAAAAGAGCCTTCGACTCAGTTGACCGCGAAGCTCTGATGGGATCCATCTTTCGAAAAGAAATGCCCCAGAAGTACGTTAACCTACTGAGGTCACTGTACTCATAAACCTCCGGTCGTGTAAAGGTTTAGAGCAAACTAAGTAGACCGTTCGTCACCAGCAGCGATGTTCGTCAAGGTTGCCCTCTTTTACCATTCCTGTTCAATTTCGTCGTCGACGAAATACTGGAGAACGCACTAAGTGGACTCCAAAATGTAGGCATTGAATGGGCAGCTGGAGAAAAGCTATGCGATTTAGAGTAAGCTGATGATATCGTCTGTCTGTTCGAATGTATGGAGGACGCGCAAAGCGCACTTGATAAACTAACAAGTGCAGTAGCCACATTCGGTATGTGCTTTGCACCTTCAAAGTGCAAAGTGATACTGTAGGACTGGGTTTCGTCTACTCCCGCTCTGAAACTAAATGGCCAGGAATTAGGCATGGTAGATTACTTCTCCTGCTTAGGTAGCTGCGTGACTAATGACGGTAGCGCATCGAAGATAAACGCCCGCACTTCCAAAGCTCGAGTAGCACATGCAAGACTGAAACACATTTGGCGTAGATGCGACGTTTCACTGAAGTTGAAAGGTCGTGTACATTGTGCTAGCGTTCGTTCAGTTCTGCTTTATGGTTGTGAGAAATTGATTTTACGAGCAGAAGATGTGTTGACTGGAAGTTTGCGATTGTCGGTGTTTACGCAGTTTAACCGCTGTGGGATGGAGCGAACGGGTTAGTAACGTGGAGGTAAGCCGTCGTGTGTTTGGGAGTTTATCAGGGATAAACCTGCTAGCAAACCAAATTCAGATTAGTAGGCTTCTCTGGCTAGAGCACGTATTGCGTATGCCCAGCTGTCGTCTGCCGCCACGCGCTTTATTCGCTGTAGCGAATCCGGGATGGAGGAAACTACGTGGTGGTCCACAGATGACATGGAGACGAGACTTGAGGAAATGCACAGAGCCATTAGGCAGTGTAGGTGTCTCGCGCCTTCCAAGTTGGGGTCCGAAAGACTCCACAACCGGTTGGTTGGAGACATTGAAGGATATGGCAGAAAACCGACAGCAGTGGCGTTCTTGTTGTCTTTCTTTATCAAGTCAGAATGCTTGAAACGTTATGTATGAAGAGTTCGACTGCGTACTCTAGGTGTTGGCCATAGAGGTTCACTTTCTTCCCCCTCCCTGTCCACCTTAAATTTTACCACTACCCTTGTGTGCATTGCGAGTTTGGCAGCGATCAGTGAAGTTTGCCTCACCGTATTCCGCTGTACGATGATGATGATGACGATGCTAGTCAAAGCCAGACCCGCAAGACAGCAGGGCAGTGTGCGAAAACCGCAATCTATTGGGAGCCGGTGTCCAGTTCATCGGATCATACACCCTTTGGACGGGGACAA